AGAGGGTGGTAAAGGGTTATTTTCGTGCAACGTGTTTTGCCATTTTCATTTCACGTGCAGCCGTGAAAAAGGTTCGTTATTCACCATGTTTCGTGAAATCGGTAAAAAGATCAACGTGCAAGAAATTTTTAATTGTTCGTTCATCGTGAAATGGCAATTTTATTTCGCGTTCTTCCGTGCAGATACCCCCCCCCCTTTTTTTTACGCCCCTCTATTCACATCTAATCAATTTAAAATTATTTTTTTAAACAAGATAATCAAATAATCAAAAATACAGTCCTAGATTGTAATCAAATAATCATGAAATATTTGGTCTAGTAATCAAATAATCACTATAAAAACGGATAAGTAATCACATATTCATAATACGAATACGAATACGAAAGTTTTATTTTGATTCGGTTCACATATAACAATACAAACATAAGCTCTTAAGAGCTTTTTACCGAATATAAGGTAACACAAACACAACATTAAAACACACAACATGCAGACAGGATATATAACAGCACAGTCATATCGAAATACATGCAAAGCACTTTTAAAATACATATCTAAAGCCAAAGCTGAAGCACAACTAAAAATTAAGCACAACTAAAATTAAGCACAAATAAAATATAGCACACATGCAAAAATTTAAGGCATAATAACATGTTAGAGCAACTTCTAAAATATGATAAAGCTTATCTACAAGCAGAACAACAACATTTTGAACCATTCCAAGACTGTATAAGGCTCTTAAATTGAGAAAAACTGTTTTCAGTCCTGAAATGGTCAGGTAGGCTGTTCCACAGAGTAGCAGCTGCAAATTTAAAACTTTTCTTACCAAACTGTGTAGTTTTTACATGTGGTATATCCAGTATATTACTATATCTGAAAGAATATTTACAATCTTTTATATTTAATAAATCATGTAAACAGACAGGTGCTAATTTATTGACTATATTAAAAGTTTCAATTGCCATAGATCTTTGTCTTTTAATATGCAGTGAAGGCATCTTAGCCTTTTCAAGCAACTGTTGATATGAGCTTGAATGGTCTTCGTACACAAACCTTAGTGCTCTTTCTTGCACTTTTTCTAATTTTTTTGAATTTTTCTCGGTACAAAAATGCCATGCCAAAGGGCAGAAATTGAAGTTTGACAAAATAAATGTATGGAAAATAGTAAGCTTACTTAGCTTGTTCAGATAAGCTCCCAAACGTTTCAAAATATTTAGTTGCTGAGATGCCTTCCTGCATATTTTACCAATATGAATATCAAAATTTAGCTGATAATCTATGTCAATGCCAAGTAATTTGACAGTTGACTCACACGAAAGATCAGCACTTTGGATACGTATAGATGGATTTTTGTTATATGTCTTTTTCCCAACTGCTAGGACCTGAAATTTGTCGGGGTTTGCCTGCATTTTATTTATTTTGAACCACTCAATAAGTTTGAGTGATTCAGATTCCAAAGTAGAAATCAAAACATCATAATCAGGACTACAGTAAGATAAAGTATTGTCATCTGCATAATTATACAAAGTTCCATTTTTTATAAATAAGAATATATCATTGATAAAAACATTGAATAGTAGGGGGCCCAGGATAGAATCAAAAACCACATGACTGAGGAGGCTCATTTTCTATGACAATATATGTGTAAACTGGAGCGACCAACTCACAACTAAATAATAGTCCAACTAATGGGAAGTTAGTGGGTCAGTCGGCCCAGAGACATATGAACAAATTTAATAAACTCGAAAAACTGTTAATGACATGAAACTAATTGTAAACAGGTTACAGTAAACATTATGGGCCTCGATAAGCATGTTGTCCATTAATTACTAGTTTCTGTCCCTACACCGTAAGGTTACTACACAATCATGGAATTTGAAGAAACTCAGTCCCAGGACGGGTTGGATGTGCGATCAGTATTAAAGCTTGAAAATGAAAACCCTCATAAAACAAGTCTTCCAGGATCATGTCATGTCAATTTTAAACATACGAATCGTTGCTGTGAGGGGAGTTATCCTGGTCGAACAAGGTCTCGCAAACTTCCCAGATGCTCAACTAACTGGGATATTGTAGACTTGGATTCCGTTGGTGTCTATTATAAAGATAAACCAGATACAATGTCGACGATACTTGACATGGTCTACAGTCAAACAGAGATGTTTGGATCTTTAACTTCAGAACAATCAGAATTAGTAAAAACTTTAGAGAACTGTTTTACTTTCTCATTTGATATCTATGACTTACTGGTTTATTCTAGTCAAAGATTAGACATGTTACTAATAGACAGCATAAAAGAAGATGCATTAGAAAGTGGAAGGTAAAAATCCATGAACACAATATTTTAAAAATTGACACAACACCTTTATCATGTTTATGTCCTGTATGTAGAGAATATTCCAATCTCCCACTACTGGTCAACGATTACGGCAGAGAAATATATGTAGTTATATGTCTCTGGTTTAACGGCCAATTGGCATATTATGCATGAACACAAGTTTTTTAAATATACTGATTTTATCTGCAAACAAATTCTTTTACTACATAATTAAAACTTTATTTTGTACGACCAAATTTAGGCTTGGAAAGGCAGAATTTTCTGTATTTTTAACATGTCATGAGATTTTCCAGAAGATTGTAACACTTGCTGCACATCATCCCTTTATGATGTCCTCAATTTTAGAAAACTTACCCGTTTTCAGACAAAGTAAAATCAAAGCTCAATTAACATGATTAAGTACACAAAATTCTTTCATAAGAAAAGAAAATATTGAACAGATATACATGTATCATCTTATGGAGGGGTATTTGCAAAAAATACCAGTCAAGGGACTGTGAAATTTCCTGAAACGCTAGGTGAGGGATATTTGGTCCCAAGACTGGTATTTTTCGCAAATACCCCTCCATAACATAATATATCTTGTTTAATTACACCGAAAAGATTTTGATTGAAACTCTCTTTACAGGTGAAGGGAAATCTTTTTTTTTTACTAGTAAGCTGTCATCCATAAACATCCTTATGCATAATTTTGAGGATAAGTAGAGACTATCATAGTACGGCGGTAATTATACATGAACTTATACGTGTTGGCGCTGTCTTTATGTAACGTCATGGTATCTATGTGTAAACGTCATTGTCATTCCATCATTAAATCGTTCATTTGTATAGACGTCTTTTTCCACTTTATATATATACACAAAGCATTCTTCAATATACGATCACGAAATTGGTGCCGTGCAGTCGTGTTGTCTGACATTTTTGTTTACAGTTTTTGGATTAATTTACCTCTATCAATCAATATTGCTTAATCATGTTGCCTAAATAATCGGGATAAGGTGAGAAAGGTTCTGAATAATTTTGGCGCGAAGAAGCTCGCGAGGGTAAAAAACTTTAAAGGAATATCCAAAATGCCAAATACCACGGCATAGACATGATAGAGAGGAAATTGAGGCATATTCACCGGCAGTGGTGTAAAACTGCAAATTCGTTTGAAATGAGGAAAAAAGGTTAGAATATGCGAAAAATACACTGGCTACCAACCAATCAAAATCCAGGATTCTTATATAAGGTGTAATTAGTTTATTAATTTGAAAAATGAATTTATGCTACTCTTCAATACAGTGTAACGTTTTGATTTCAGGCGAAATAAATTTTGGATCAGTTCAGATTCAGCAAAGGAAGAAGAGCTGAGAAATATATGACAGAATAACAATATGATTTGGTCATTTGACATGCGTCTTTTCATACCACAAAAAGCAAAATATGACATTAATGTTTAGACTAACTGGTCTTTGTATCCATGAAATTTCATGCAAAATTTATTAAAATAGCAACTTGTTTTTCTTGTTATAAGGGATTTCAATTCCAAGTCTATGGGGCTAAACCTAACCTTTAGTAACCATTTATATGTTACAAGAATATTTCCAATCAGATTTGAGTACCTGTTAAAAAAAATTGAGATAAATTGCCAATATGGTAACTGGTACTGGACCAGACAAGTATTTACCTTGTACAGTTGTCATAGATTTATATAACAATAAAACGTAAGCTCTACCATGTCTACTGAGCTTTTGACCAATGAATAAAACAAATTTTAACATAAAACTATAAATACAATTCAATGTATTTATGGATTGACAAACATGTAATTTAATATAGAGTTATTTCCCTTCAATGCCATGTTGAAAGTCAATTAGCACATAATCCTTTATAAGTAAACCAAATTCAACTAGCGCTTCAGACACATGTTTTCATTTTATACTGCCTGCCAGAATTTAGAAAAAAGTTCTTTTCCGAACCATTTTAATTTGTTTGTTCTTATAATCCTTATATAATTCATCACTAACAGTGAGGAGTGACAATACAAATTACTTATACAAATATTTATTTGCAAATAAACTTGTACATGTTGTAATTCTGTATTATCTTTTAGATTCTTGTGGGACAAAGCAATTACAGCATGTACATTATAATAAATATAAAAATAAGGAGATGTGATATGATTGCCAATGAGACAACTACAAAAAAAAAATGTATCCATCAGAGTTCAAATAAAGTGGATGTAAGCAGTACTAGCTGTAGGTCACTGTATGGCCTTCAACAATCAGAAAAACCCATACCTTTTAGTCAGATGATTAAAAGCCCTGACATGAAAAATGTGAAACAATTCAAATATATGAACATGATGAAACATATACAATATACAAAAGGTATGCATGCATCATTAAATCAAAAAAAGTAAAACACAAAATAAAGAAAAACAAGTATACCTCATGATAAACAAAAACAAAATACAAGGAAACGAAATGAAACAAAAGCACATGTGGTACATGTATTTTATGTGGGAAATTTGAATTAAAATTGTTTTCTATTATTACTTGTTTAACAAAATTGCAACTTGACATTCTGCATAAATACTATATATTAACCTGTTTCATTTCAGAATTCTGACTAATCTTGGCGAACATTTTATAAGAAACTTGATATTGATGATAAAGTATTATCATGATTATGATTTCGAAAATGGAGAAAGAAACAGGAAATATGGAAGAAAGTCTGCATCAGAAGCTGTGTTTATAGATTTGTTTACTATATTTGTGAGAATGAGTGGTGTTTTAGCTAGGTATGTACATTTGTAAGACTGGCTGGTGTTTTAGCTAGGTATGTACATTTGTAAGAATGACTGGTCTTTTAGCAAGGTATGTACATATAATTTTTTTAAAAGCAACCAAATGACAAAAATAATCAAAAGAATTAAATGTGAATGGTTTATAACAGCAATATTTAAATGAGTACAATAATTATACATATAGATCTCCATTCAAGTATTTTTTCAGATCTTATTCAATACAGTATACGTATGAAAGCTCTTTTTCATGTTGAAGACAGTTAGAATACTGGAATATATTTTTTTTTTTACTTCTGTAAATAGGTTTTTGTTGTTGTTGGATTGCTGTCACACTGACCTTAACCTCACATCACCTTTTATTAATGTTGTATAAATTAACATATGTATTCAGTCCAGGAGCAATGTTTACGTCCACTATGAACATTCTTAAAAAAAGTGTGACAACAGAACCAGATGTTATTATTCAAGCTGGAAACATACTTGAATATCCCAGACCTGTGTGTGCTGTGTCTATTGTAGAGGTAAGATCTAGTATTGAATTTGCCTAAAGAAATGTATGGAAAGAATGAATATGAAATAAGATTTTATAATAAATGCAAAACAGCAATATAAAGATTTATTAGGCCACCTCAAATTAATTTCTAGTGTTTGGAATCTTTTTGTGGAAACAAGAGGAGAGAGGTATCAACATTAATCAGACCTGCCAACTATCCCGATTTTGGCGGTACCATCCCGATTTTCATGCCTCAACCCGAATCCTGATATCAGGATCCTAAAACAAGTCAAAATCCTGATTTTAACAAAATCTATCCGAAAAATTATTGGATACTGATTTTGAAGTTTTTCTGGTCAATTTCTATAACATCTCTGGCAACATATTCATGACAAGTTTACGACCCCAAGCTAAGCAACGGGTGTTTACCGTAGTTTCATGACAAAATCGTAATTAACTGAAAGATAACTGTAATGAATTCATTAAAAAACATCGTTTATCTTGAAATCCGTTAAAATTTTTGAAATCAGATGTGTTTCTCTGTCCAGTTCTGACTTATAATCGACGCCATATTGTATTTACTTCTACTGTGTGTAAGCCTCCGCCGGTAGGAGCACCTCTGAACACAAAGAAGGATAACTCAAATTTTATCCATTTTCTCATTAATACCAGAGACATATAATTCATGCATTATATGTCTTACAAGACTTACATCTAGAAATTGACAATGAGGGTCGGTTGAAAACAAAACTTTACGACAAAAGAGATGATTTAAGCTTCCCAAAATTTTGTGAACTTTCCATTTCTATGTAGCAACATTCCAGCAGTGCATGCATACGGAGTGTATATCTCCCAATTGATACGATATACCCGGGCTTGTATTTCCTATCATGATTTCCTTGATAGAGGATTGCTGCTCACAAGGAAGCTATTAAACCAAGAGTTCCAAATGGTAAAGTTGAAATCATCCCTTCGTAAATTTTACGGATGCCATCACGAGTTGGTTGACCGTTATGGAATAACTGTTTCACAGATGATATCTGATATGTTCCTTATGTCGTAACTACAATACCCTTCCCTTTTCACGAATATGACCTACCGAATTAGACTATTTACCGGATTTGTAATAACATAAGCAACATGACGGGTGCCACATGTTGAGTAGGATCTGCTTACCCTTCCGGAGCACCTGAGATCACCCCGTTTTTGGTGGGGTTCGTGTTGCTTAGTCTTTAGTTTTCTATGTTGTGTCATATGTACTATTGTTTGTCTGTTTGTCTTTTTATTTTTGGCCATGGCGTTGTCAGTTTGTTTTCGATCTATGAGTTTGACTGTCCCTCTGGTATCTTTCGGCCCTCTTTTAATACTGATAGACTAAATCAAGACCTGTCTTCATCCTTCTAACTTTAGGACATTTAGGTTTAGGTCTTTTGAGTCATGGTGCAAAGATAAGAAGGTCTTTGGAGGGGAAAAGGAGGGGGGAGGGTCTGCACTTTTTATCTTTTACTTTTTAAGGCCATTTGTCTCTATTCATAATTAAGTTATTTTGCCAATTAATAAGTACAAGAATCATGCAAATAAAAGAAATCAAGGCTTATTACCTCATCATCAGTATACCAAAGGAAAAAGTAGATATGAGACTATTTCAAGAGTAAAAAACAGTGCACACAGAAATGCTACAAAAATTGTAACCCATAAATCTGGTCGCGTGCAAAATCCCCCATGGGGAGATTCAAAAGTTGGCAGGTCTGACATTTTTATATTCAGATTTTTTTCTAAAATTAGATTTTACAGAGGTGATAGAATTTTCTTCTAGCAAGCGACAACACTTTCTGAATAATTCAAAACAAAATGCAGAGATTTAATTATAATCAAGAGAGCAGAATTGTTTTAAATACTTCCTTTTGGAATATTAACAGAGGGATTTTTGTCTCCAAGCGAGCAATTAAAGATTATAAACATGAGCTGTGCTTTATGATTATATATCTATATATTTCCTAGTTTTGATATTATTCCATGTTAGTTTTCTGTTAATTTTCTGTCACATGAACTTAACTTCATTGAATCTACCTCCTTTAAAATTTTCATAGTGGTTTATTTTTTGCAGTTCTTGATTTGTATTTTAAAAAGAAAATAACAAGTGGGTCATGTTTGTAGGTGCTAGAACAGTCCATGCATTGCGTTTAAATGTCCATATAAAAATAAGGAGAACATGCATTGCGTTTAATAACTTAAGATAGGACTGGCAAAATTACCAGCTAGCATAGTTAATGACATTTGATTTGTTTTGCAGTAATATATTGGCTTATTCAGTGGTTGTCATTGGTTCATGTCTGTCATATTTGTTTTTCGTTTTATAAATTAGGCCGTTAGTTTTCTCAATTGAATTGTTTCATATTTTTTATGTCGGGGCCTTTTATAGCCAGCCATACAGTATGGGCTTTTCTCATTGTTGAAGGCCGTACGGTTACCTATAATTGCTTACATCCACTTCATTTGAACTTTGGTGGATAGTTGTCTCATTGGCAATCATACCACATCTCCATATTTTTTATATTAGTTGAAAAATATGTCTCGTGAGCACACAATTTATTTTATTCGTAAAACATTTGTTAAAATCCAGATCTGTTTTGTGATGAAAATCACGTTTATAATATGATAATACTTCAAACACACAGCTGACTTAAAATTTATGAAGAGTAAATTAGAGAGTAAATTTAGATGCAGAAGCGGGTGGACCCATGTTTGATGCAGGGATTTTAAAAAAAAGAAGTTTTTTCTTGCTGCATTATGCCAGGAAACCGAAGAATAAGGTATCCATATTTGTGTGGCCTTATCCTGTGGATTCTTTTTTAAAATAGTTGATCTGCACTGGAGTGTTTAGACTTGTCTGACACATTGCTGATATAAACCTTCGCTGTAAACTCAATAAAATCTGGCAAGAATTGTACACCTGAGAGCACTTACAATGTAATTTTTTATATAATTTATATTTTCAAGGGGCATAGTTCTTTTAAAAATAGCTGATCAGCACTGATTTTCAAAATGTCCGATACATTGCTAATATAAACCTTTGATATAAATTTCATAAAAATCTGTTCAGAATTGTATAGTTGAGAGTGCTCACAAGACCAAACAGAAACCTTTAAGAGACCTTAAAAATAGAAGTAAACAAATATTGTTTAAAATTTCAGATGCAATTTGTGGATAAAAGTATGAGTTATTGTCGTCATGGACATAAAAGATTTACGAAAACCAGACAGAAAGAGCCTGAACCATCATCATCAACATCATCATCATCATCGGGTGATAGTGAACAATCAGATTATGATGTTCATGAGGAACCACATATTTTCAAAAGAATTCCCCCAAAACTATTAGCACAGCATGGTGGACAACTTTTAGTTTTTTCCCAGCTATATACTGGTCAACATTTCACCAAGGATAAGACGAGAAAATTAATTCCTGGAATTATTGTTATGGGAACCCAGGTAAGAGATTCATGGAATAGACATCAGATAGAAAATTGGCCTTCAATGTAGCTATGATCATTCCACTGATTCTGATTAAAAAGATATGGGTTAATTTTAAATAAACTAGTCTAACCTCCCCATGTCTTAATGGGCCTGTACCAAGTCATGATTTTATGTCAGAATATATGATCGTGTGTATGGCTGAGATCAACCTTATAACATGTTTAACCCTGCCACATTCTGTATGTATGTGACTGTCCCAAGTCAGGAGCCTGTAATTCAGTGGTTGTTGTTTGTTGCTGTGTTACATATTTGTTTTTAGTTCATTTTTTTTTGTACATTAATTAGGCCGTTAGTTTTCTCAATTGAATTGTTTTACATTTGTGATTTCGGGACCTTTTATAGCTGACTATGTGGTATGGGCTTTGCTCATTGTTGAAGGCCATACCGTGACCTATAGCTGTTAATTTCTGTGTCATGTGGTCTCTTGTGGAGAGTTGTCTCATTGGCGATCATACCACATCTTCTTTTTTATACTTATAACACTGCTTAGTTTACACATTATTTTCTAGTATGCACTGAATACCACTGAATGCAACACACAGGGATGTTCTTTTTCCGACAGCATCAACCTCAACTATTTATATAAAGTTTTATATTTCAGAAGATAGAAGATGTTATTCCATATTAAGTATACATATTCTTTATGGTTTGAGGGTGCCTCGGTGGCTGAGTGGTCTAAGTTGTTACTACTGTAATCACTAGCCAGTCAACACTGAGGTTGTGAGTTCCAACCCCTCTCGTGTGGGTGCACTTGACTCCAATCGGAATTGACTAGGATTGTCAGTTTTCCTATCAAAGGTCTGTGGTTTTCTCCGGGCACTCCGGCTTCCTCCACCAATAAAAACTGGCAGCCACGAAATAGCCCAAAAGCGGTGCTTAAAAGTGGCGTTAAAACACCAAAAATCAAAATCAAATCAAATCTTTATGGTTTGAAGTTTCAGTCTTGCCCTTAAATGAGGATTTGTGACAAATTTCAAAGTTTTTGTTTATTATCTTAAGTATGTAACAGATAGACAGAAACTGTAAACAGCGAACATTATCAGCAATACAAGATCTACAAAAATACTAATATGAGTGAAGCAATCAATTGATATTTACTTGCAAGGTAACCATGGTAACTCCCCAAATATATTGTTCTTAGTCTTTGCTCTTACTCATGTTTGCTTTAGAGCTTCCTGTTAAAAGGTATTTAAGTATAAACATGATAAATGCTGTAATGACATTTCATTATTTATGTTTTCAGGTGACATTTACATTACTTGAATACAGTGTTAACCATATGAAAGATTTATTCCTAAATAATGTCAATGATAAAGAAAGAAGCTACATATATTACACAGAGCCAATGGATTACCTCAAGCAGGAGGATCGTAATTTGTTATTGGAATCAATTGTGAGGTTAAGTAATGTCAAGTCTACGATCAGTAAACCTTGATGTACTAAGGATCAAGATATTATGATGTAATATTGAGAAACATTGCCCAAAAATACATAAACATTAGATTGAGGAAGATGGATCTAATATACAATAGCGTAACCTTGAGGAACAAAGAACCAAGATATCATGACGTAATATTGAGAAACATTGCCCAAAAATACATTGACATTAGATTAAGGAAGATGGATCTAATATACAATAGCGTAACCTTGAGGAACAAAGAACTAAGATATCATGATGTAGTATAGAGAAACATTGCCAAAAAAAAGATAAACATAAGATTGAGGAACATAGATCTCCAATATACAATACAATGATGAACAACTATCTTTTCTGTTTAAAATTGTATGTGTTTGTTGCTATTTTGTAGGATATCAGAAAAACATGATCTACAAATAAATCAAACATGGCTGAAATTGTTAGTTGACTCTTTATAGGAGTTATTGCCCTTAGGAGACCATTTTAACCAATTGTTTGCATTATTGCCTTTTTAGCTCACCTGGCCCGAAGAACCAAGTCAGGTTTTCTCATCACTTGGCGTCCGTCATCCGTCATCGTCATCGTTAACTTTTTACATTTTGAACTTCTTCTAAAGAACCACTGAATGGAATGAAACCAAACATGGCATGAATGTTCCTTATGAGGTGCTGACAAAGTGTTGTTACTTTGTAGCTGATCCATCATCCAAGATGGCCACCAGCAGGGGACTTCATTTAACATAGGACCCTATGGACAATACATACAAATGTCTTCTTTTAGAGAACCACTGAATGGAATGAAACCAAACATGGCATGAATGTTCCTTATGAGGTGCTGACCAAGTGTTGATACTTTGTAGCCATTCACTCATCCAAGATGGCTGCCAGCGGGGAACTTAGTTTAACAAAGGACCCTATTTGAAATACATACAAAAGACTTCTTTTGAAGAACCACTGAATGGAATGAAATCGAACATGGCATGAATGTTTCTCATGAGGTGCTGACCAAGTGTTGTTACTTTGTAGCAAATCCATCAACCAAGATGGCTGCCGACGGGGGACATAGTTTAACAAAGGACCTTATGGGAAATATATACAAATGTCTTCTTCTAGAAAACCGCTTAATGAAACCAAATATGGTATGAATGTTCCTAATGAGGTGCTGACCAAGTGTTGTTACTTTGTACATGTAGCTGATTTGTCTTCCAAGATGGCTGCCAGCAGGGGGAGTAAGTTTAACATAGGACCCAATGGGAAATACATACAAATGTTTTCTTCTAGAGAACCACTGAATAGAATGAAACCAAACATGGCATGAATGTTCCTAATGAGGTGCTGACCAATTGTTGTTACTTTGTAGCCGAACCATCATCCAAGATGGCCACCAGCAGGGGACTTAGTTTAACATAAGACCTAAAGGGAAATACATACAAATGCTTCTTCTAGAGGAGCACTGAATGGAATGAAACCAAACATCGCATAAATGTTCTTTATGATGTGCTGATGAAGTCCTTAATACATGTATCTTTATAGATTGAGATATACTGTAAACTGCAAAAATATCAAGAAAAGAAGATCTATACATAAGTCAACATGAGCAAAATTGTCAATTGACATCCTGTTGGAGTTATTGTCCTTATAAAGTCATTTTCTACAATTTCAATGAATTTATTAGTAATTTCTGTAATCTTTACAAAAATCTTTTGCTTTTGATTAAATTACAGGGCCAATATTAAACCAAATTTGGCCTCAATCATTATTAGGGTGTTCGTTATGATTTTAATCTATTTTTACATGATTTCCAAAACCAAAGTAGAATCAGGTGAGCGACACAGGCTCTTGAGAGCCTCTAGTTTTGGAAAACTACAATAGATACTAGAGAGGAACTTTAAATAACACAAAACAATCCACAAGACAAGATCAACAAACAATTCAATATTGCTGAAATCGTTGGTGGACTTTTTATACTAGTGATTGCCCTTACCAAATTTTGGCATTTTTGCCAATGATCTTGAAAACTGTAAAAAGTAAATAGAACCTTTAAACAGCAAAGTTGATCAACAGGATAAGATATACAAATTATGTCAACATGCCGAATATGTCAGTTAACTCTTTATAGGAGTCATTGTCCTTTAATGATGATTTTTATGCATTTTTGAATTTTTGGTAATTACCTTGGTGGATGAAGAAAAACTGTAATTAAAATGATCAGCAAGACAAAATCTATAAATAAGTTAACACAGCAAAATTGTCAGTTGACTTGTTACAGGAGTTATTGCCATTAAATGACAATTTTAACACCTTTTCAATTTTGGGCAACACTTTTAGATAATAGAGGGAAACTGTAAACAGTTAAAATGATCAGCAATACAAGAACAACAAAAAAGAGATTTTAGTCATGAATTATATTCTTGTGCACAATGTTGGAGAGTGGCCATTGTTGACGATGCACATAGATCAAGGTGAGCGACACAGGCTCTCTCGAGCTGTGATTACTATAACACTAATATAGCAATCTCAGTTTATAGCCTCTTAGTTTAGTTTACTTATCCACATTTTATCTGCTTTTGACTGTTCATACCTGTGTAGCATATTTTTTTGAAACACAATCCGGAAATATATGTTTTGTAATGCTAAGTATTTTTTGTTACTTCCATTTTGTTAAATCTGAGACTTCTGTTACACACTGTAATACGTTTAGAGTCAAATAAGTCATTCAACAGTAAATTTTATGAAAAAGTCTCGGCATTTTATACATCAATTTTGTGATGCAATCAATACCAAAATGAAGTTCATAAATTAAACGGAAATAATTTGAATAAAAAGACAGGTTAGGAAATACATAATAAAAGACATTCCCCACCCTCCAAGATGAATTGCAACTGCTTCTCTCAGGTCCTTGATTAATATCCTGCTTTGTGTTAGCACAATACCCAGAGTTGCCTCCCTTCAGTCAAGACAAAACAGAAGTTGAGAGCAATGGAATCTTAAAGAAAAGACAGGAGGATTTTGAAAATAAATAACTCAGCCTTGATAATAACAAAAATGAATGGTTTGTTCTGTGGTAGTTTGAAAATAAATAACCTGACTTACAATGTATTGAAAATAACTTGGCAGGTCTTTTAAGCCATTTTATAAATGCTATTCTGAAGTATGAGATGGCACCAGATTCTTCCAAAATTCGTCTTTTTTCATATTTTTTTCGGGAAAAACTTCCCAAATCTTTTAATAATATAAATATTAATGTATTTGAAATGTTTGAAAATGGGTTTCATTTCACTTGAGGTATATTGTCTCGTGAATATTTACCTCAGTTTTATTACAGGGCCGTGACTAAATTAACATTGAGGCAAATGCCTCATGTTGGAAATTTCAAAACGAAAGCTTGTCTTCATATCAAATTGTTTTCACAGCAAGTGTCTTGCAAGAAGCAAGTTCTGTTCACCCTCTGACGTAGCCCCTGTTTTTTGAGATCCATGTTTCTCATTTATTTTTATTTTTCAGTGTTGATTGTCTATAATGTTTGTCGTTTTGTGTTTTATCTGTTCCCGGGTTTGTCTTTTGTTTATGATTGCCCTTCTTTATGACTATTCTCTTAGTGTTGCATTCTATTTGTAATTTAGTAATTATGTTTTAAACTTGAGTTTTATTATATTTAAGGACCTTTTGTCTATTACAAACTACTTTAAATTGTATCCCAGTTAGAAACTACATCAACTTGAAGTTGTAATTGAAATGTGTTATAAAAACTGACTTGACATAGTTATATTATCAATGATAATCAGCCCCCTCTTAACTTAATTTGAAAAAAACCATAATTGACAGGTATAAAAGGTTTTTCTGCAAACTGAAACATTTTTTGCTTTGTCCTACATATTGGTCTTTTGATGTTGTCCCTAAAAAATGCGAAAATGTTTGACAACTTTTAAAAGAGGCAAGTTACAGCCCAGCTTTAATACCTTGTACGTATGCAATATATGCAGTTTGCAATTCAGAAGATTAACTTCTAGAGGATGATGAATAATTCTGATTGACTTAATTGACTGTTATTTATTTAAGAATTTAAAAATTGTATGTTTTCAAATATTATAAATATAATTGTGAAAATAGATAATCAATCCCTTGTTTTAATGAAAATGAAAAATCATGCTTCAACAGTGGTCAGTGCAGAAAATAAATAATCTGTCCTTTTGGTCCACAAAAATAAATAACCCATCCAAAACAAATCCTCCTGTCCCCCCCCCCCCCCCCCCCCAGAATATCAAATGATCGTCCCCTTACGTGACTTCTCTTCTGTTCATTCACCTAGATACTGAGTCAAAAGAAGAGCTGCAAAAAAAAAAAGAAGATTTATATGTACCCTGAAAAAGTGAAAAATGGGAGCCAAGTAGTGAACATTATATCAGACTACTAATATACAATAGATGTCTCACTTTATATAAAATATTTCTCCCAACGCCCATTATTAATTTATTTAATGTCTTTATGATTGAAATTGTTTTTCCTTTTTTAGAGATAACTAGTATGTAAATTATTCAAATCTTTTTTAGAAAACCTAATTTTAAAAGGCAGGCGGAAGATATCAAAGTGATATTCCAACTCATAAGTCAATAACAAAAGTAGGGCGGAAGATACCAAAGTGATATTCCAACTCATAAGTCAATGACAAAAGTAGGGCGGAAGATACCAAAGTGATATTCCAACTCATAAGTTGATAACAAACTGACCAAGCCACTGTGAAAAAAAGATAGTCAAACAACAGTACAAAAAAGCAGCGTAGGCTGAGCATCACAAACCAAACCAAATTTAAACGAGCAAAAGAAAATAACACTTTAATTTTGTTGTGTCTGTAGTGTACCTTATTTTTGAAAACTATGTCTTTGGAAGTTGGAACCTTGGGTTGTCAGCAACTTGAGGATGAATTTTTCTATCGAAAGCATAATTTCGGAGGCTAATGTTAAAAATGAAGTACGAGAATCACTAAACATTTGCCAAAATAAAAAGAAGAAAGAAAGAAATTATTGTGTATAAAAAAATGTAATATGAAGAACTAAAACAAAAACTGCTTCAAACGCTAAGCATTGTAGATTGAAACATAAACATGCTAGTTTGGATGCAGAATAAGTGAAAAAAAAGAAATATCTAAATGAAACTTTGTGTGTTGTCGAGCTTGAATGTTAAAAAATGGTCAAACCTTCATGAATTTTATTTGAAACTTGAACAGGCTTTTTCAATCAATGACAGTATTCAGAGCTAAATTTTTGAAAATATTTTTTCCCCATTTTATGGGGAAAAACTGAGACAAAACATTTATCTATTAGTCCCAGGGAAAA